GTTTCCAGATGGATATGCGGAGCAAATCCATCTGGCGGAGTCAGGTTACCTCTGACCACCATCAATAGACAATGCAGGTGAATTGTCTTGCCCAAGGACACAAGGACACTGAAAGTAAGAGCTTGAACCGCCAATCCTTTGATTTCAGGACAAACTCCTACATCCAACGCCACTGTCGCCCCATAATGGAAGACTGGATAGATTATTTTACCCTTGATTGTGCTCTAACTACAGAGAGGAACAGTACTTCTTTTCAAGCCAATTTTAAAGCTATTTTCCAAAAGATGAAACATTTTTAGAGAAAACAGCTAAAAGATAATCCACACAGTGGCAAATTCAGTTTATTTACATGGTGCCATTTCACAACCAATGTAAGCGCAATAAACTCCATGTTGAAAACGGTTAATTAGGTTATTCAGCCTCAGCAGAAGGCAGCTTACACCGAGTGTGGTTGAACTGCAGATATCTTCCTGTTAAAATGGAGTTTTTCTCTCCACTGTCGCTGTATGCATGCTCTGTGTAATGGATTGCTGTAGAGTGGTAGAGTAAAAGACACAATGCAAGTGATAGTCTACTGCCTACATGATCCAGGAGCAGTTTATCCTGCAGTGATGCACAAGGGTGCAATAAACATGTTTGGATAGATCCTCGACCACTTTGATTGGATCAACTGATCAAATTGTGTCTGTAAAGTGCATTGAAATGGCATGTTTTATAAATATTCTTTATAGAGGAAACATGAGTAAATTGAAAGTGAGAAGAAATCATAACTACTCATTGATTCGTTTCCACCATTTCCTGTTTCTTTAGGAATATTTGGAATAGTCATGAGATAATTATTCAGCTGATAACATAAAATCAGAGATCTGTAGATAGGCCTACCTAAAGGGAACTATCGCTGGTTGATAATCAGTCAACATTTCTTAGTTTAAGAAGATCCTGCTTCCACTTTTTATCTTTGTAACAAAAGCTGTAAACAGCAGAAACCATAGAACAAGCTCTTTACCTTAAGGTCATTGATTAGAAAAACATATGTACCAGGTGGACCTGACACCACTTATGTAAAAAAATATATAACAATTAAAAAATGGTCTGAATTGAAGCTGTCATTGACTTTAGGGTAACTAGTAGTTTTTTGCTGCTGTTCCTGTGAAACATCTTGACATTAGCATCTAAGAAATCACTGATAATATGGAGCTGCAGGACAGATGGATGCTGTTACATTTAGAAAATGAGCAGGGAGGTTTTCTTTTTTTTTTCTTGTGCCTTCAAAGGGAAACAGCTCACTGGTGGTCAAGTGATTCTTCAGGATCATAATGCAATTCTACATAGAGCAGTTTTCATGCTTTATGTTCCCAGTCTAGCAAGGCTCTACATTGTAGGCCAATGCCTCTCCTTCCCTCTGCTTTATATGTGCTGCTAATTCCAAGGTAGGCCCTCCTGCCTTGAACGTAGGAGGATGATTTCTACCTTGAGGCAAACAATACCTAGCTGACTATTTGCTCTGAGCTTGCATTTCATAAAGTTACTTTCGTATCTTTTTCTTTTTATAAAAATTTCTATTTCAATCTTCTATTTTCCTCTGGTTAATTAGGCTTGGTTGTGTTGTATTGAAATATTTTGCACAGCCCTCGTGTCTGTCTATCTGTATTCCACAAGTTGCAGTGAATGTAATAAAATTTTTATACACTTAGTTTTAGCTCTCTTATCTGCCTCCTTTTATTAATTATTGTCATTTAAAACTAATTCAGTTTAATAACATGCTGATATCTCAGTGACATCATGGGGTGTTGCTAGCTTTTTATTTAAGTGGTTAAAGGTTAATTAATGACATTAAAAACAGTGATAGAGCCCTTTTGGGGATTGTGATGCATAAATACTTTTTTAATGACCATTTTAATCAGTCTGACTAATAAGCTATTTTGTTTTGTCTATTTTAAAAGTATTTTTTGTTAGTTAAATAGCCTTAAACACATACCTTGGGAATGGTGTCCATAGACTCTTCATTTTTAACTGCTGGTTATATAAAGACATTCTAGACATTTTGTGGTGCTGAACCGGTTCTGGATCAGATGGACTATTGGCAATTTCTGGTGAGGAATTAAAACAGCAATGCTTCAAACTTAACTGGGATCTATTTCAGGTCACAACAGGAGAATATTATTTAAGAACATTCCTATAGATAAGATAATTAATCATTTTTATGTTTTTTCTTTTCCAAAATTATCAGCTGATCAAAGAAAGGCAAATAATTAGAGCAAAAATAAACATCAATAACAGATGGTGACGTTGGCAAACAGATGGCTAGACTTATCAGACTGAAGGAGAATATTTGAAAATTCACATCTACATGATTATAATGTACACAGAAAGAAATTCAAAGAAACATTTTTTTAAGTCTTCTGTTCATTTATTTGTTTTTACAACGTTTTGTCAGCTGGAAGTCTTGAGCATATTTCAAAGCATTTTGGCAAACAAACGGTTACAGGTGTTGAAACAGTTCAGTTTTCAATTTTATCCATCTGATGTGAAATAAACTGCTCCAAAAAGGAGCAAACGATACGCTATTTTCCCACAAGGTGGCGCGAGAACTATGCTTATTGAACAAAAGCATTTTCTCTTTATTATGTGACATATTTTGGAAAGCAGTGATTTTCAAGGCAAAAAATGACAGATACCTAACACCCTCAGTTTTTTTTATTTTCTTCTTCTCTTCTTACAGATCCAAGCTGTCATAGCAGATTTGTCAATATTTTCAGTTGTTAGGCCGACATTTTTATTTTAAAATTACTTACAAAAACACAAACTGCAGCTAAATTGATTGGATTAAGATACAAGAGAAAATCCTAACATTTGGTTTCAAACACATTTCGGAACAGTTGTTTTATTGCGCAAAGAGAATTGAATAAATGATCCGTTTGGGTGGTCACTTCTTTCTTTTCTTTTCAAACTGGTTGTTCAGCTCTTTGTTATCGAATTTCTGATCATATTCTTATTCTCACCTCGGCGAGAAAATGTCTCCAAACTTCCAAAAGTGGGAAAGCTATCCGAATTGTGCGCTGTGAAGGTTTGAGCTCTAAACGGGACGGTCATAAATAGGCATCTTTTATGGACTGGCAGACTCTGGCGTGTGAAAAGCCGGGAATGAGCAGGAAGGGCAGGGACAGGTTTTTACATTGAATCGGTGTGAGTTGTTTCCTATAAGCTAAACTCCGCAGAGGAGGAGTAGGGCTCCTCCGCGGAGCGGACGGAGAACTTGAAGTGGCGCCGCAGGTAGCCTCCGTAACGTTTGTCCCATTTCAGGTTATTAAGCTTCGGCCGGACCCTCCGCATGAAGCCCCCGTAGCGCTTCTGGAGCTCCTCCGGCTCTTGACTGTCATCCTCCGCGGAACTTCTCCTCTTTGACTTTGGGCCGAATTTGCGTAAAAAGCCTCCGTAGCGCTTAGCGTAACTGTGTGGGATGGGCTCCTCCGCCGCCGGCGCGCCTCTCACCTCCAGCCGCTTTAGGAGCTCCTCGTAGTTCCCGGGAAGGGCCACGGTCTTTAGGACGGAGTTTTCGCGCCACGGGGAGAAGGTGAACACTTTGTTCTTGTTCTTGTCGATGCGTTTGATAAACCCGCCGTAGCGCTTGACCAGCTCTGCCTGCTGACTCTCCTCCGCCTCCGCCGCCTGATCCTCGGTGAAGTCGGCGAGCCGTGGAGCCAGGGCGCAGCTCTCCATCTCCTCCCCATCACACTCCGCGCTGCAAGGCTGTGGATGACACACAGAGACCCGTGTGACACGGCAGCTGAGCCTGACCTATGCGCGCAAACACCACGCACCTTTTACCATTTAGTTTTCTAAACTCAGAGTCAACAAAAAAGGTTCGGCCATAGGCTATATGAAGACACATTTTATTACTTCTGTTTTTATATTTAATGGACCGAATAAAAAAAAAGTTTGCTTTAACTTCGGCTTCTATGGTTAAAATGAAACATGAATAAAACGACTGGTTCGCTTTTTTTTTTCTCCTACCAGACTGCTGAAGGCGGCGTCAGGGCGCAGCATTTGTTCGGCACATCTCTGGCACTGTGAGGAGCACTCTGTGTGGATGCAGGGCGGTAGGCTCAGCATCAACACCAGGACGAACCACTCCATACTTCCGCAGGTTCCTGAGCGCACGCAAACCAAAGACAAGGCAGCAAACGGTTCATTTCCAGGATTTAGAGACTCAATCGGAACCTCCACCTTTAAACATGGAGGTTTTTAAAACAATGCACATATTTTCTTTTTTAAATTATAATGTATTTAGTTATTTTTGGATCGTTGCGCTGTGCGTAATCGCGCGCAACACTCTCTTAATATTTGATAAGTAATGGAATAAATAAATAATAATAAAAGTGGTTTCAATAAAAGTTTCGATTATAAGAAAATGAATGAAATGGAAAGTCACTACCTCAGAAGCTGGACAGATACTTTTAACGTCTCTCTGTCCTCCGTTCTACGCTGGCTCCTTCCGCCTCGCCTTCTTTTTTTATCTGCGGAGCCTCACCCGTGTCATCTGAGCCACTTCTGTCCTTCAACCAATAAGAAGCAAAATGTGCTGCATAAATGATCCTAACGCCTCCGTAGTTTAGGAGTTTTCAACAACGCCCACACTGAAAAGGTGGGTGACAGAAGCTATAATCCATCATCGCTTCGTAGCACCATCACTCCATCTCTGGGGCGTCTGGATGAAACCATGGGCTGTAAATCCCACTGATCTTCATTTTCCACTCTTCTGCGACACAGACTCAAAAACTGAGCCCCCAAAACAAAGATAGAGAAAATGTCATTTTGGCAATAATTTCCCCACTGATGCAGACTACAAAATGTAATCTTTACCCTACGTTCCAGGCAGGGACAGATTTTGGAAATTTTGGGCCCTAGGCAAAAAATAGGCAGGGGGCTTTCTGAGTTGAGAAGACAACACATAAAACAGACCTATTAGACAGATAGAGAAATGTTAATAGAATAGACATCCATTATTTGTTCTAGGTTTTGTCTCTCTCTTCTTGTCCCTTTTCTTATTGTTTCCTCTATGTTTTGTACTCAGCTGACTTTTCATGCTGTCTCAAAAGGAATGAAAGATTTTTTCCAAGCACTAAGCTCACTTAGCTGATTGCTCCTTCCTGTGTTTCCAAAAAGGTGACGGCAAAAGTAAATACGGTAACCCAGTCCTTCTTTTCACTGTAGACAAGCCATGATCTGCTTATCTGTTCTCCATTTTTCATTTGGGTGAAATAATAGCTGCATGAATCATGACAGCAGACAAGATGGAGGAGAGCAGGAGGCGGGGTTACCAATCTACTTGCTCTGGAGAGCAGAGTTTGGTGCTTTTATATGTTGTTGCCAAAGTCTTCAGTAGCAGAAAAAACTCGCTGGATTTGGCTCTAGGTGCTTTTGTGAAATAAAAGTGTTATAGGCGTCTGAAAAGTCGCTAAATATAGCGACAAAAATGCTAAGTTGGAATCACTGCTCTCGCACTGTTTGTTTTCTAAATGGTTTGCTGCTGTCTGTTTAGACCTTTCTGAACATGTGCAGCAAATGGGCTGATCCAATATGGTGGACACCATCTTATCGAAAGGATTTTTATGAAAAATAAGGAATAGTTGTATTAACCATACATGTAAACAGAGTTTTCTGGGGGCCTCCCAGGAACTTGGGGCCCTAGGCAACTGCCTAGTATTGCCAAAAGAAAAATCCATCCTGGTTCCAGGTAGCATTTTGTGGAGTAGGGGTTAAGAGTAAGGTCTTCTAAAAAGCAAATCACATTGCTTCCACAGACAGCAACATCATAACTTGTGCTTGCAAATATACACACAATACAAGATACAGCAAATCTAAAATATTTTTTATTGTTTTTGCTTTGAAATAGGTCTAGAATTTGTAGTTCATGCGCAACAATATATTGAATGGATTAGAAAATGTATTTATGATGCTCTATTGAGTGAAAACAACCAAAAACAAAAACTTTATTTAAGATTCTTTTCCCTGTACCCACATTTCTGAATTACCAATGTTTTTGATTAGCTGTGATCAGAGAAAATGATCAGAGATACCAAGTATACGCTTAAAAACACAAGTCTGTGTTATTTATTACTTATAATGTATTTAACATGGTGAATTATGTTACTGAAATGTTCACATTTGAAATTAAATTCAAATTAATTAAATAGGTCGGTATTTGGTTTGGCATTAGTTATTTATTTTGGAATATGGATTTGAAAAATCTTGGAAGAAAAACGCAAAAAGGATTTCTAGTGTATTTTTTGGTTTAATCTGAAGTGTTCATTACACATGAAAATAGATTTGTCAAAGGCTGAATCTTTAGTAAGCAGAAAAATATCTGTGCTTTTAAAAAAGAATACATACACACATAATGACAGACATAGAGTCAAAGATAAAAGACAACCTCAGTTTTCTTTCTACTGTTCATTATGTTCCTCAGGTAAAACAAAGGTGATCCACTATTGGAAGAAATTGACTTTGAATGGTTGTTGGTGCCAGATGGGTTGATCAGATTATTTCAGAAGCCGCTGATCTACTAGGATTTGTCACTCATAGCCATTTCAAGGTTGTACAAAGAATGGTCAGAAAAAGAGAAAATATCCAGTGAGTTGGCAGTTCTGTGGGCACATATGCTTTGGTGATGCTAGTGATCAGAGGGGAATGGCCAGACTGGTTCCAGCTGATAGAAAGGAAAAAGTAGCTAATAGAAGCAGGAGAGTCGATGGCAGAGGAGGGCAGGATGTCCATGTGACTGTGGATAATAGGGAGGGATGCTTAGCTTCTTCCTGAGCTGAACCTGTAAAAGAAAGTATTCAGTTCATTTGCTCTGTCCAGACTCCCATCTGTCTGATAGTCCTGCTGGTTGAAGCTTGTGAACTTCTTCATCCCTTTACCTCACAACCCTTAAATTGTTCTGCTGGAGCTTGTTTTCCAGCCTTTTCCTGTATGCCTCCTTGCTTTTTCTTATCTTGACCTTAAGTTGCTTCTGTAAACATTAATTCCCTGTCTCCCTTCTTAAAGGCTTGTTTATTTGTTTTTCTTTGTCAAGCAATTTCTTTAGATCACTTTATGATCCATGCTTTTTTATTTGGGGAGCATTTCACTATCCTGGTAGGGATGATTTTATCTACACAGAAGTTTATGTAGTCAGTCTCACACTCAGTCTTTCCGTTGATGTCCTCTCCATGTGGCTGACACAGTGCATCCCCGTCTGTACCCTCATTGAACCTTGCAGGACTTCTTCAGCCTCCTGTGACCGTCTTCTTACAGTTATTTTTAAATGCAGGATGTCTCTAAGGAGAGCGGAGACAAAGGACACTCCTATTTTACTAAACAAACCTTCTCCTGAAGAGGTTAGCTCTGTGGAGAATGTTACTATGGTGACTGAAACAGAGGTTGAGGAAACTCTCTTTGTGAAACAGAAAACTCAGAGTTTCCCATATTGCAGGTTAATAAAACTTAGAGTTTTATAAACAGTGAGTCTTTCCACCATGAAGGAACCATTAGGGGTGAATGTAGAGTGGGGGCCAGAGGGGGCCATGGCCACCCTTGGCCAATCATTGGCCACCACTGTGGTCACCCTTACCAGGGGATTTTTTTGTTCTCCCTGGTATTTCATTAAATACCCCTGTAACAAGCAGTTCTCTAAGCCTAAAGGTGGCAGCAGTGATACACCTATGTTTCTCAATTCTACATTTAAACACTGGTATATTAACCAAAAACTGAATAAGAAAAATCATTCACAACAATATATATGAATAAAGAGGACTAACACTGAACATTTGCTCTTTTATAAATTAGTTTTTTTTTTTTTATAGGTGAGAGTTTATCCCTGTAGTCATCTAGGAAGTTAAAAACATTTATATAAATTATCTAGAACCATACATTTATTTAAAATGCACTAATGTATAAATATGCACATGGCTTTATCAGCAAGGACCCTACTGAAAATTTTGTCTGCCTTCAGTGATTAATTTGCGTGTTCATTTTCCTGTCAGTTTAGTTTGACCAGTATAGATTGACCATAAGATGTTTTGGTGCCTATCGAGTTTGCCTGACCACCCCTATGAAAATGTTCTGGAACCCCCACTAGTCAGGCACCATGCTCATGTGGCCCCCTTTGGAAATCCCTTAGCCACCCCGTTAAAAATATCCTAGAACCACCACTGCATGAGAAAGATAACAATGGATGGAG